AATACATTCTAAATACTTATGCATTTTGGCATTTGATTTGGGGTTCATTTTCCTGTGCCAGATTGAAAGCTTGGATCCCTGGTAACTCTGGGTTCCTGGGGATGAGCACACAGCATCCCCACGAACAGATGCAAGGACCAATACCACACAGGAGCCTCCCAAAACAAACACAAAAAGAAAGAAAAAAACGTAAACAAAACATGCAAAGACAGTGCTGGCACTTTCTGCTTTTAACCAATAAAAGACGCCGACCACTCAGGCCGCGCCCTCCCCCTCCAACCCCCAAAGGGGCGGAACGGTCATCGATAGCGGGCAGCACTGCACAGCAACACCGCCCGCCCGCCTCGCGCTCAGGGGATGACGCCACGACTCCTCCTCGTGGTCGGTGAGACTGTTCACTTTCGGACACACTTCTCTAGTTACCAACTATAGAAATGATCCCTGAAAGTATAGTCTTAACTCTCTATTTCCGCGGACGCCCGCCCCCCCCGGCCGCACGTGCACAAGGGACATGGTGACTCCACGCCGCCGCCCCCCGGCTCTGGTCCCGGCAGCCGCCCCAGTCCCTTAGCGGCGCCCCCCGCCCGGATGCCCCCGCGGCGCAGCGCGCTTCAAGCCATCAGGGTCTCGAGACGCGGGTCGCCCCGCTTCCCGGCACACCGCGCGCGTTCATTTGCATGGCCCCGTCCACGCCCCGCCCCCAACTGCTGCTGGGGGTACCGCGTGGCTGAGAGCGGCGTGGCAGAGAGCGGCCTGGCCGCGCCCCTCCTCCTCCTCCTCCCGCACTCGTGTCCCCGCGGCCGCCGCCGTTATGAGCGGGAGCCCGTTAGCCGCAAACAACCCCCCCCTCCCCCGCCCCGCCCGTACCTCTCTTCAGGAGCTTCTTGACCGCTGTGCGGCTCCCCCGCCGCACGGCCTCGTGCAGCTCCGCCTCGGGGCCGTCGCGCCGCACGATGCCCAGCGGCACCGGGCAGGGCACGGGCAGGGGTAGCGCATGCGACATCCCACGGGAGGCGTCGCCGCCTCAGGCCCGGCCCAACGGTCGAAGCCAGCGACCGTTACACCACGAGGCCGCGTGGGGCAGCGGGAGTACGAGTGCTCCCGAGGATCAGAAAGCTCTGCGGACGCACGGGGGGGCGGGTGGTACGGAAGGGTACGGAAGCTCCCGAGGATCAGAAAGCTCTGGGGACGCGCGAGGGGCAGGCCATGGAATCCCCGAGAGCCGCAAAGCTCTGGGGACACTGTGTGCGCAACCTGTGGGGGGAACTGTAGGCTGGGGTAAGGGCAGGGGTCTCCCCACCCACTCTTGTCCTGCTCTGCTCTGTTCACTCTTTTCCCCTTCCCTTCTCCCCCCAGTTATTTCCAGCTCCTTGCTGCCCCCCCACACAAGCCCCTGACCTCCTTCTAGGGTAGAAACCCCAGATTAAAGAAGCCCCTATGGAGGACAGCGCCCTGTGGGCAGCCACCAGCTTGTGCCAAGCACCTGGCAGTCATAAGCAGACCTGAGGTGGCCCCCAAGCACCAGCCACCTCTCAGCTTTCCTTGCATATCAACAAAAGGTCACACCACTTGGCTCCACAGGAACACAAAGCATCACCATTTGGTGTCCTGGGCATGTGGGCCTCGCCGCCACCAAATCACTGCAAGCTGCGAGTGTAGCCAGGTTCACAAAGGGATTGGACATATCCTTGGGAAGTGGGGTAGGGGGGACACGAGGATGGTGGCCTTGCTCTGCCTGGCAGGGGAGATGCCCATCTCCCTGACCACGAAGACTTGGTGCAGTTGAGGGTATTGCGCTGCCAATGGAGACCCCCACCACAGTCTACTACAGCCTCTGCTACTATACATGTATGTATGTATGTATGTATGTATGTATGTATCTGAGGCCAAATTAGCCAAAACTAATTCCAAATCCAAGAGTTCAGAACCATAAATGGCCCTATTACTGGCAAACATCCTCCACCCGCACCTGGGGCTTCAGATGTTTCCAAAACCTTTGCTGGGCACCCTACTTGCAGCCTTGGGGTTCAGATGCCCCCAGGTTTTGCTTGCCCTCAGCTGTGAGGCCCTCACAGCAAGCAAGGGAGGAGACTCCCATTTCCATAAAGGGGGCTTAAATCCACTGCACCTCAGCCTTTGCTACACATTTGATAGTGATGGGGGAGTTGCTCAACCTCCTGCAGCCTTTGGGCTTGGGGCAAGAAAGATGAGGGGCTCTCTGAACCCCAAAGGCTCCAGGCTTTGGATCTGGGAGCATCCGAAACCCAAGATGGATGAGCCTTGGTGGCAGCACCGTGAAGACCTAAACTGAGCTGAGCTCAGCCCATGCCATTCAGAACTGACAGGGCTCATTTGGCTTCAGACATGCCATTAAAAAAAAAAAGAGGAGGAAAGGAGCATCCATCACTAGTAAGCAGCTTCCCAGCCCTCAAATGCTGGAGGCTGTAAGGGATGGAAGAACAAGGAGGGGTAAAAACCTGGTCAGCCCCCGGCACTCCCTGCGTGACACTAGAGAGGTAGGGTAGGGCCGAACCTAGGAGCAGACAAGACTGCACAAGAGCGACCAGAGCGCCCCCGCGGGGAGCTGAGGCTGTACTTCCGGGCCTCCACGCGGGCCGGCTGCGAAGGGAGAGCCGCACGCGCTGGGCGGGGCGCGCCCGGCCGGAGGAGGCGGCACCGGGCCCACGTGGGTGCTGCCGTGCAGGAAGCCGGGCCCGGGGGCTGGACCATGCAGCGGGACTTGGGCAGCCTGCCCCTGGCCCCCGCGCTGCGGGCGCGGCTTGTGGGCGCCGGGTTCAGCACCGCGCAGGAGCTGCTGGAGGTCGGGCCCTGCGAGCTCAGCAAAGGTACCGAGGAGGGGGCTCCCCTGCCGCGCTCCTCCTTCCCTCCCCGGGGCCCCTCTGCTTTCTACTGCCAGCCCTACTTCCACCCTGCCTACCTGGACTGGTGCAAAGCATTTCTGTGCCCTTTATAAATGTTGGGCAGCCTCTCTGAGAGTCCCCGCTCGCCCTGGCCTCCAGCCAGTCTGAAAAAGCAAATCTCTTTTTCACCCAGGGCTCAGCAAAAAGGGGGCGGGGGGATCCTGCTTTGCCAAGAAAGGGCAGCGCATGGATGAAGAACTGCAGGAGGGTTTCCCTCTTCCACTTGCAACCAAGTACACCTGGAATCGGTTCAGGCCTCCGGGCGGCCAGGCTGCATCTCCAGACCTGTTACTGGAAGGGAAGTAGTTGTACTTCCCCAGCGTTGTTTTCATTTAGATTTGAAATAGGTCTTAAGCCCTTGACATGTTTTTTTGCAAGCATCTAGTTGGTCTAATAATAGAGATCACCTCTACCACCAGTTCTGATTCCTTTTGCCTCTAGACTAATATCGCTACAGCCTGGATACCTGAGTATTCCTCTGTTATTTGGGTGTAGGTTGTAGCTGCCTTGGTCTAAAGGCATAGGCAAACTTTTTTCCAACCATTTGAGTTGGTCTAAAAAAAAGATATTAGATTTACCCAACCAACCTCCTCTGCCTCTGTCATTTGAAGCTAGACCGCTTGATGTCACTGTCCCCCTAATTTAAAATCGCTTGATAACTATAACGCTGCCTCCTTTAACAAGAACATTGAGTTATAGGTACATACAGTCGTACCTGATGTGAAAAACAAATTATCCTCCTCATCCCATTCAGATGCGCAGTGCAGGTCAGTCCTGGCCTCCCCTTTGAAGATCAGTTATTGTAGGTACATGCTCCTAATCTTGAACAGGGGCAGCCTTGCTCTTCAAGTGGCTTCACTTGTATGGTGTTGTTCGTGGCACAATCAGCTTTTGCAGGGGACAGAAACTACCGGTCAGCATCTCTTTCTGGCCATGAGATTAATCCGTTTCTTCTGAATGAGATAATCCTGTTGCAACCAAATGAGAATAGATATTTAATAAAACTGGTGTGAAGTCATTAGGGAAAGAAATCTACAGTCTGGTTTTCAGAGAGGCTGGTAGCCTATTTCTCTTACTTTGTTAGGATTTCTTGATCCTCAGTACTTCTGAAAAATGAGACCTGTCTTTTATTTCAAAGAGGTAAACAAACAGGTCAGAAGAGCTAATTTGCTTCCATCATTATTTAAAAAAAAAATCACACTTTGTTTGTATGTGTGTGTTTTACAAAGGATAATTGAGGAATTTATAAGTCCAGAAAAGTTGTCTTTGCTATTTATATTGTGACCTGTTGCTGGTTATGAAAAAAGAAAACATTCACTCATGCTTTTGCTTTTCAGAAATTGGAATCTCTAAGGAGGAGGCATTGGAAACGTTGCAGGTTGTAAGGCAGGAATGTGATGGCGATGCCGTCAGGACAGTTGGTGACCCCGCGGCTCTCCGGAAGTGCACGGCACTGGAACTCTTAGAACAAGAGCAAGCCCAGGGCTTTGTCGTCACCTTCTGTTCAGCGCTAGATGATATGCTGGGTGGTGGCGTGCAGCTGACCAAAATTACTGAGATCTGTGGTGCACCTGGTGTTGGGAAAACGCAGTTATGGTATTTTACTTTTAAATTATTTCTGTGCAACTAAGCGTCTAGTTGCCCTTTCGCCCCATCAGTAACTAGGGCCACCGTTCTTTATGCTTGTTGTCTTGACTGCAACCCCAGATTCTCAATCTGCAAGAATACCCCTGTACTGATTGTATCTTCTTCTACTCACCAGAATTGTCACTTCAGAGATAAGCTAGAAGGGCAGCCTTATAAATCCCAGTTGGTATCTTTCTGCTTTCTCTGACAGCATGCAGCTGGCAGTAGATGTGCAGATCCCCGAATGTTTTGGCGGGCTGGCTGGAGAAGCAGTTTACATTGATACAGAGGGGAGCTTTATGGTGGAGAGGGTAGTGGACATTGCAACTGCCTGCGTTCAGCATTGCCAGCTTATTGCTGAAGCGCATCAGGAAGAAGGTATGTTACTGAGCCATGTTCCTTTCAGCAGTCAGCTAAGATCAGACAGAGCAAGAACCTCATAACCCTGTCCAGTACTCGAATGTGGATGCACACCTTGCTGGGGTTGTTGGACCCCAGCCATGTTTCCTGCTCAGAGCAGGGGGGTTGGACCCGATGATCTCATGAGGTCCCTTCCAGCCCTAAACTTCTGTGAATATGTTCAAAAATACTTCAGTATAGCTGGATTGTAGTTCACGGAAAAGGTTTGTTTTTCTCACAGGTAGCTAAAAGGACCAGTTGTTAATGCATCAGGTCCAGCAGCCTTGATATATTTAAGGAGCATTTTGAGCAAAAGATGTGTTCATTTTGCACAGCTCTAAGACCCCCCCCCAATATTTGATGAGCCATTACCTGCATATTAAGTATTGTGTGGCTATTTTGAACCAGTGTCGTGTTTGTTAGCTGGCTTGAAAGTTAATTCATGAGCAAATCTGATATGGATAGATATGTATTCATTCAGTTGACATTTCTGTACCCCTGCCCTCCACTGCAGGTTTTTGGTGCATGTGTGTGAGCAAGTCCTGAGACAGCTTCTAGCACAGTTTCTAAAAAGTCATTTTGCTGTCTGCTTTTAGGCCACAGGGAAAGGAAACTTGTGTCCATTCTCTTCAGCTTTGACCACTGAGTTCCTTTTTGTTGTACAAAGTCTCTATGTTGCTTTTGTTGCCCACAGAGGGGTTGGGGGAATGAGGAGTGTAACGATGTGCTAGTGCAAACTTCTTTCTTTTTTTTTTCCCCAGACCATCATAAAGCCCTGGAGACTTTCTCCCTTGAAAGCATCCTGTCTCATATCTATTACTTCCGTTGCCATGACTACACTGAGCTTCTAGCACAGATTTACCTCCTCCCAGACTTCCTTTCAGAGCATTCAAAGGTAGGGGTTACTGCAGACATAGCTGAAGGTGCCTCACATATCTGGACACGCAAGGAAGTCCTTGAGGGTTTGCTGACCGGCACAAGACCAAACCAGTCCCTCTGAACTTCCAACCCAATCATCAGCTTGGGAATCATGATTTGGCTGATGTCAAGCTTGTCATGATGTGCTTGTTTTCTTTTTCACCCCGATTTCTGCCTAGTCCTTCTGATAATGTATCCTCTCTGTCCTAATGCTAGGGCTCTTCAGCACTTCACCACAAAGACTACATTTTCTGGGAGCAACAGGCTAAGGATTGTCATGGGTCCACCTGTCAAATGCCCCCCCTAAGTCATGTTTGCACCTGGTCAGCATTTTGCAGTGGTGCCAGTGAACGTGATACCAGTTTCATCCAGAACTAAAAGTACTCGCAGGGGCTTTGCAATTTAAGGCTGATTTTCCTCTCTCTCAGTACGATCTCTGTTGCTGCAAGCAACTTGAACTTGCAGCTTCATTCTTTGGTGGACACCTTGAAAAGTCACCTAAGTTCTCCATGAAACGGTATTGTAATGCAGTTTCCTTGTCTCCTTGCCAGATTTTAGATTCTGTAGGACAGATCAGTCCCTGGCAAACTGTACTGTTGATGTTTTGTCCCTTACTGTACTAGAGCACAAATGAACAGTGTTAATAAGACACTGACTTGGATACAGGCTGTCTCTACTATTTCCATTTTCAGATGTTCTTGTAGTGATGAAGGAGCAGGTAGGAGTTTAGCGTGTGCTCAGAGTGTGTTGCGTTTCCCATTGTGATCGTAGCACAGTTGCAGTGGGTTGCAGTTATGTTGGGCCGTCTGTGCAGATTATCCATGCTTGTCCTTAAGCCTGATGCTCTGTGTTCCCTCTGGTGAGGAGCTCCCCATGTTAGCACTTTCTGTGCTAAAACTAGCCCGGTTCCTTAAATACTGTTGTAGCTAAGGAATAGAGGCAGGGACCCCAGAAAAGGTCCTGTCTTCATTTTGCGTAATGAATGACACAGCACCGTTTTTCAGGTAATTGTGGTGGGTGGCCACAGTATAAAGTTACCTCTTATATTCCTCTTATACAACAAAAAAGACCATGCCAAGAAACCATTTCTGTGATGATAATAAAAGCAACTTATGTCTGATGTGGACTAGGCAACCGTTAGCAAGAGGTCAGAGTTGTAAATTGCAACCGGAGAGATTTAGATCATGCAGTAGGAAGATCTTTCTATCATGGGTAACCACTAGAACAGATCCCCTAGAGATTGTGGAATGTCTGCAGGTTAGGCAAACATTTGTCTGGGATGGTTTAGATGTAGGTGAACATGCCTTGAGCAGGGGGCTGGAGTAGATGACATTGCGAGATCCCTTCCAGCCCTATTTTTCTGTGATTCTAAGTTATTAGTTATAATTCGGCTTGGCAGGATTCAATTTTTATTGATAGGCACCGATAAATATTGATTTTCCTTGACACTCGCAGACTGGCAG